GCAACAGCTGTGCGCCCGCAGGAAGGGATCCAGTGGCTACAGATACAGCTTGATGAGCTCGTCGCTGACTGCTGAGGGCGTCAACACCCCCAGGTCTGTAAACAGCAGTGTTATTAAGGAAGGGGAGGTGTAGTCGACCCATGGGTGCTCCTCTTTGAGATCCTGTTTCGTCTGCATAGTCTTCAGGGTATCTGCCTTATACTGAGGAGACAGGAAGCACGTGTTGATTTTCCCCACACACCCCGGGCTCAGAAGTGGTGTGGGCTTGGCCTGAGCAATCAGTGTGCTACTAGCTACTACCTGCAAGTGTTCCCTGCATGGGGGAAGCCAGCCGGGCAGGACGCTGGCGAGGAGGGTGGAGGGCAGCGCGGCGGAGCCAGAGGATGGCGGCCTACCGGCCAAAAACCCAAACCGTGTCTCCCCTGACTGGTGTGCTGGATTCACAGCTCCAAACCTCTCGAGATAACAATTTCAAGTCTTTATAGAGAGCTTACTGTGTGCCAGGCACGTGCCAAGCTTTTCTTCTGGATTATCTCAGAGCTGTCTTAATGCTCAAAATACACTTCCATCTCATTTTACAGGTGACTGAAGTTCAGAGCATAAAATGAGAGCATCTGCCCCAGGCCACGTGGTTAGTAAGCGGTGGGGATGGGGGCTGAGCCCAGAGAGTTGGCTCCAAAGCTTGGACTGAACCATCAGCTTTCCCTGCGTCCTCGCAAGCCCCCTCTCATGCCTAAGAGAGACTGAGAGATTGAAGTTCTGGGGACAAATGGGACTCTCCGAGTCTTGAGCTCAGCCAACAATTGATCTTTGTGTCCCAAGTGTTGGAGAAACTAGTGATGGGAGGGGAGTAACCTACTGAAATATTCTTACACGGCTTCTTCCCAAAGGTTTCAGTTTAGACTCAAATACCCCTTCAAATATGTAAAAAAAAACTCTTGCCTTAAACTTATTTGGGACATCCTGCTGGTTTAGTGGGAAGAGTCGTACAAACTTGAAACTTTCTGCAACGACATAAAAAGGCTTGTTCTGGGCTTTGGCGCACACGGCCATCTGGTTGGTTCCAATCTGGAGAGTCAGAGAAAAAGTAGAAGGATGAGATCTTACAGCATAGTCGAAAGCGTGTGAGGGAACATAATATGTGTAAGTCTGGCTTTGGAATTAGGATCTTTTAAAAAAGATGACAGAATAGACTTTTCTCTAAAGATACACAAATGGCCAATATACACATGCTCAAAAGATGCTCAAGATCCTCGTCATTTGGCAAACACAAGTCAAAACCACAATGAGATACTACTTCACACCTACTAGCATGGCTATAATTAAAAAACCAAAATAACAAGTGTTGGCAAGGATGTAGAGAGACTGGAATGCTTGTACAGTGTTGAGGAGAACGGAAAAGAGTGCAGCTACTATGGAAAAGTCTGGTGGGTCCTTGGAATTATCAAGTGACCCAGAAATTCCACTCAGGAACGTACCCATAGGAACTGCGAACAGGAACTCAAATAGATAACTCTGCACCCATGTTTGTAGTAGCATTATTTACAAGAGCTGAAACGTAGAAACGACTCAAGTGGACAGGAGTTGGTGGACAAACCAATGTGCTCTCTGCGCACAATGGAATGTGATTCAGCCGTAAAAAGGGATGATGTGTGGACACCTGCTACAACAAAGATGGGCTTCGAGAACGTTGTCGTGCTGCGTGAAATCACGCCCCTGAATTGTACACGTGAACACCGAATGTTATGTATATTTCACCATGCAAAAAACAAATGATCATGAAATCTTTCCATGTTAAGCAAGGAATAGAGAAATTTTAACACCACACTATATTGATGTCAAATATGCCCAATTAAAAAAAAACCAACAAACCCAATTCCAGTTAAAACAGTTTTTGAGAAAAGATAAACTGCATTCTCATGATTCACATAGATCAAAGAAATGTGACCAAAATTTGGCCACTACAGTGGCCTCTGGGGACTGGGAGACAATTTGCTGCGACAGTGAGGTCCGGAGGCCACGCGGGGCTGGATGAGCGAACCGTAACATCTGGTACCGCCAGGATGTGGGTCAGTGACCCCTCCCCGCCTGGAGCGAGGAGCTGTGGGGAACTGACGTTCTTACCTTGTTGATAATGCCCCCATTTTCAACAACTCCTTCAGCACCAACTATGACAAGATCCACTTTCTCCATGATATAACTAAAGAAATTTAAAAAAAAAATTATGCTCTTTTCTTGGCTCTTACGAGTAGCAGCATCACCTGCAAAGATTAATACTCCATTTTCACCACCGAAAGTTCCTCTCCTCACTTTCTTCAAAAGAGAGCACTTAACCCATGAGACCACCCCGGGCACTGTTGGCGGCTTTGCCAGCAGGAGCATGAAAACGCACTGTGATCACAACCCCCCCAGTGAATGTGCCCTCCACACAGCCGCCCAGCACACGTACACGTACAGGTGTGGTGACCGACGCGAGGATTTCGTGACCTGGTATTTATCCTCACTACGTGTGGTACGCTCTATTTTCTGATCTACTTCAATACAAGAAACAAAAATTTAAGAACCTGTTGTGATCCGAAGTTGGAAGAAATGTTATGTAATTCAACAATCTTTCAGCTAGGGTGAAGGCCAATTTACCTCTGAAAATGAGCAATTAAGTAGAATTCTTCAAAATGCTTTCTTTTGAACGCATTCCTAATTTCGTTAATCATCTGCCTTATGTGTTTGTTTTTTTTTTTCCCCCTCGAGGGACTTTTAGTCCTGTTTTCTTTTGTGAGGTACACTGACAATTCACAGAACGTGCGTCCTCAGTTTTAGAAGCGAAGTTGCATGAGTAAGTCAAAGAATCCCAGAGTGCCACTGAGGACGGCCCATGCCTTCCGCTGAGGATGGAGCACTGATTACGTGTGCTGACCCTAACCCGGCTTTTGCACCTTGCTCTTAAAATGCACCATAAGGGACTCTGGGTGGCTCTGCTTGTCTGCCTTCGGCTCAGGTCATGATCCCAGCGTCCTGGGATCGAGTCCCACATCGAGCGCCTTGCTCAACGGGGAGCCTGCTTCTCCCTCTGCCTGCCGCTCCCCCTGCTTATGCTCTCTCTCTCCCTGACAAATAAATAAGATCTTTAAAAAAAAGATAAAATGCACCGTAAGACTACATAAATGACTCCCATTCTCTGCAACACCCTACAGCTCGTCTCCTGCATATACCGTCAAGACCTTTTCATGAGCTTGCTGGTTTAATGCAGCCATCAATTCGGATGCAGAACATTACCCAGGGCAGTTTTATGAATGGGATTCCAACCTTCAATCGGAAACCCTGCTCCAAGCCAATCCTGGGAGTGGGTGACGACAAGTAACGGTGCTCAGGGAAGATGGAAGCTTACCCAACAGCAGCATCCAGGACCACGGTGACAGGGACGTTGAGGTGGTAGAGAGCTCTGGCCATTTTCTTACTGGAAAATGACATTTTGAGAATGTTAGAGAAAGTCCAAGAAAGTCCCGTAGTGGCATATGATGAGTCATTTAATTTGGACAATGGTAAATCACATTAGCTTGAAACTCAGTTCATACTCAGGGATTAAGGGGCGTGTCCCAAGACTCTGGAATAAGGAAACAAGAATTTGGGTTCTTTAGAAGAAACTATGTGTTTCAGGAAAACTATATTCTTGGGGACTCTGTGTAGGAGATGCAAATTCAGCAAAAAAGGAGACAGTTTTTTTCTTTCATTATCTTCTGGATGGAGATGTGAATTATCTACTCCTTGATAAAAATCTTTCCATTGACATATCTATTGCTGTTCCTCTGATTTAACTCCTAAAGAAACACCCTAGATCCTGTACGGTGGCCTACTGCCACTGCACAGAGAATTTTCTTCGGGGGCAGGAAAAGGCACAAAGGCAAGGCTGAGTAATTGGCCAGTCGCGGGCCATGTTCTGGGGCTTCCTACCCAGGGCCTAATCCTTCGTTTGCTCTTTAAAATAACTGCTGGGCCCAGAACCAAATGGAATGATACTTGCCCCGATAAGTCAGGCTGTGACTCTGTGATGTACACACTGAAACGCTTCTTGGCCACCACTGCTGCCTCCAAAACTCTCAGGACCACTCTGGAGTAGGCGTGAGTTAATATTTTC